CTCTCTGTCTCTACTCTCCCTATGGAAAAAAAGAAAAAAGAAAAAAAATTAAGCAGGCGTAATAAGCATCCTTATATAATCCTAACATAATAGAGTTAGATAGAAAAGAATTTCAATTGTTCTGACTGGTGAATATCAAAAAGAAAATGAAGAAAGATAAAAACTTATCTTATGCATCATCTTCACACAGTCTCTAACCCCTTTTGAAAAAGAAATTAACATCAATTACAGTACTCACTTGAAGTAAATGAAGGCTACTTTTACAACAGAATCAGGGTTAATTTTTAGGTATTCTCTAGTAACTAGTACTTTTATTTCCTAAACTGGAAATTCTCTAGAAATTATGCAAAGTATGTGAACATGTGATATTTTATTCAGTTTCCAGTACTGATGCAGTAGACACCCTTAAACATGGCACGCATTATAAATGGGCTGGTACCTGAGATGTATCTTTATGCATTGACATAGAACGACATCCGCAGTGTTATTAAAAGAAAGTTGCAAAGAATAGAAAATTGTTAGAACTTTTCGGTGGAAATTGCAGAAACCAGTTGTTTAAAGTACACGAGAGAAATGCACCTTACTGTACCTAAAACAGTACTGATGGTCATCGGGAAAGTAAGCTTGCGAGGAAGAGGTAACTGCAAAATTCTGGGAAAAAACACAAAATGTTTTACAGAAGTTTACAGAAAATGGAAGTAACCATTTATTTTACTGAAAAAGTTTTAAATCCGTGCATAGTTTTTCACAGTTTGTGTTGTCCGTGAACTGTTTGAAGACCCCTCACGTTGTGACTGGGCCAACTGTACCACTGTTGGTCAGAGATTTAAAAGGTCATCTGTTTCATCCCAATTTTTTTATTTTTCCTTTTTTTTTTTTTTAAGAGAGATTTGGCTATAGGGCGAATGCAGTTACCAGAGAGACGGAGAGAGACAGAAAGCGAGAAATCACCCCCGGGGAGAGGGCCACACCACAATCCCTTCTCCGCCATTCTCCTCTCAGGATCTTGTACACACACACACACATACACACACACACACACACACACACACACGCGCGCCCAGTGTGAGTTTTAAGCCACCAGGTCCAGGATTTGAATTGTAGATGACTTACATGGGAGTCCAGCGACATAATCATTACGCTATCTGCTGGTCCCTGATTCCCAATTTTTAAAGATACCTTAAGAAATTAAGTAAACCAAATAAGCATTTTACAAAAACAGTTTGGTAGTATTCGCTTTTAAGCAAAATTTTGATCACAGGGTGATAGTCATAGATCTAGTAAAACAGGCTGTTATTGTTTTAAGTTTGGTCATTTTTATCTTTAAATTTAAATTTATTTATGTTTTTGTCCTCTTGCAGACGTATTTCCATTGCACAAAATTTTCCACCTCTGGGATACCTTACTGCTCGGGAATTCCTCTTTCCCATTCTGTATTGGAGTCGCAATTCTTCAGCAACTGCGGGACCGCCTGTTGGCTAATGGCTTTAACGAGTGCATCCTTCTCTTCTCGGATTTACCAGGTATAGATCTAAACCTGAGTTCTAACTATAAAATAGTGGGACGTCCTTAAGCCATGTGCAGACTCCAGACCTTCAGGATCTGTTCTGCTTGGGCCACAGCAAAGGTGCTTTCTGGATCTCCTCCCTCGTGCTTGCTTACAAAGCTGGCCACACTCGCTCCCGGGCGTCCTCCGTCTCAGTAATGCCACCAAAAGGGTAAAAGGCCGGAGGACCGTAACGTATCCGCTCTCTTTTTAGGACAGGGCTGCTTGTCTTCAGCTGACGGAGAATAAATAAAGGCTACTTGGGAAGGTGTTTGAGAATCTGATTATACAAAGATGTGATTGGCGAGGACTGCTCCCTCCTGGCCACAGCTGCTCGCCGGCAGCTCGGTCGTGTGAGGAAAGAAGCCGTGCTCGGGCAGCAGAAGCACCCAGGGGTGCTCCGTGTCACATGCTGCAGGCCACGTTAGCTATTGCTGTGTGGGGAATCCAGGAGTGAGGCGCTGTCCGCAGCCACGGGCGAAGCTTTGATGCTGTGGGTAACAAGATGAGATTCATATGGCTACACTGGATAACTAAATCTGTAAAAGGAAAAACATAAACTACGTTTTGTGCAGAAACTAAGGTTTGGGGGATAGAGAAGTTCTGCTTCCCTGGGCGCCACCCCCCCTCGGGCAGGCAGTCACCGCTGCCGTGGAACACTGCGTCTCTGTCTCCGGGAGTGCGTTTCCCTGACGGCGACGGCCACAGGCGGAGGACCTCAGGGTGTGTTACGAGGCACTCCGGGGGAGTGAGAAATACGCACCCTTCCCTCATTCTCACTTCCCGTGGATGGTCTGGTCTCAGAGCTCTGCCATCTCTAACTGAAGGTCTTTTATCTTCTTTTAGGAAAATAGTAACAAAAATGCCTTGAGTTTATTTTATAACTTCTCCTTCCATTTGCCCCCAAAGTCAAAAGTATCACTCTCAACTTTCTAACTTACCATACCTGAAAGTGGATCGTTTCTTATGTAAAGAAACATTAGTTTAGGTCTTACTGCTTTTCTCTGGAAGATTCTTTTTGAGAAAATTATTTATTTATTTCTGTTTGGGTTTCGAACAGTAAGTTAGAAGCTACTTTCACAAACTAGGAATACCGCCCATGTGCCACAGATGTTTCCCTGTCATTCCCAGCTTGTCAAAGCAAACAGACGTTGATTAGTTAGGATTAAAAGAACGTTTATGGTAGGTTCTAAAAATATAGAATGCTGATGGTACATTTTCAAATCAAACACACTTGATGCTTTTTCAACTTTTTAAAGTTTATTTAATTATTTTTGATAGATAATGTGCAAGGGAGAGAAATACCCTAGACAGGGTGCTGTCACACCACAGTCCCTTTCCCTAGGTCTCAGGCCTTCAGGATCTTGGCCAAGTGTGTACATGACCCAGTGTGTTTCAGGTCATCCAGGCCCAGGACCCGAAACCACGGTCCGCCATGCCTTTTCCGTCACTACAGTTCACTTTACTGTCACTGTGCCACAAAATCCCAGGAGGAGAAAGGACTGTGGCATAGCCATTACCCCTGGGGGTGATTTCTCACTTTTCCTCTCTCTGTCTCATCTCTCCGACAAGCCCACGCACTCTACAGCCAAAACATACACAATTAATTATATTGACTGTTGCCCACTTAAATAGTCTTATATACCACAGTTTGCTTAACTCCGTTTTACAGAATTCATGTTAGGAACAGTGTATGAGGTGATGCAATTTGACCTCTGCATAGCCCTGGGAGGGACCTGCTGTGAAGGTGACAGACCTCACTCAGGGCAGGTGAAGGAGTGATTAGTTGATTTAGGTCTTTCCAGACATGTTGGCCGTATTCCCAACCTAAATGAACAGAAATAACCATAGTTGCCTTAGAACTCCGATGACTTCGGCCATTCTACCCAAGGTAACACCCTTAAGCCCTCAGCTTTCTCGTGCTTCGTTTCGCATCTTCAGCAGAAGTGTTGGTGGGAGGAGGGATGGCAGTACCCGTCTCTAAGAAAGACTCGAATGGACTGTGTGAGCGCGTACCATACTTGCTGCATGGCAGCTGCTCGGCGGGTGTCATTTCCCCTGCCTTCCCCAAGGTGCGCCACCCTGGGACAGCGAGCAGCTCTGCAATGCGTGGCGCGTGCCGTCCACGGTCTTCCGAATGCCCGTTTCCTGCCTCCTGCCACATAAGCCCTTCGTTTCAAAAAGTGGAACAGGGAACTCAGCCCTCCGTGGTTTCAAACATCATTTCTCTCCACTGCTCCTCTGAGCTGACACCCTCGGACTTGTGCGGAGGAAAGGGGCACATCTGCCATCTGACTGTTTCAGGAACCCAGAAATTCCGGGAAAAGCTACTCGTCGCTCAGCTCCTCCCTCCCAGCCAGGTTCTTGACCTTTGACTCGCTTTCTGTGCCTGCTTCACTTCCTCGTGCGAGACGGCTAACTCCCGGCAGGAACGTTGGCATCCTGAAACAGCTGTGGCTCCACCAAAACAGAGCGATAACTCATGTTGCAGTCACCTCCTGTGTACACTCCCTCTGCATCAAAGATGCTTAGAAGTTACACCTGGGAACGAAAAGGAACTCTATAAAAATGTGTTCAAATCATTTTAGTCAAGTGCATGTAATTTCTCTCCAGATGAAACCTCACTTAAATCTTTCTCGACTTAAGAAAAGAAGAAAGAAGTGCTGATTTAAGATTTTAATAAATTTTTCCCTATTATCTTACATCTTTTTCATAAATGATCCTGAATCTTCAAATACTTTATTCCAAGTTGTGGTGAATCAACGGCCAAATCTTTTGTCTGTCCTTTCTGTAATACCTCCTTCCCCTGCCTGAACCCTGTTTTACTCTGGAAAAGTGAAAACATTGTCAGAGTGTCTGAAGCAGATTTTTAAATAAGGAAATATGTTCCATTCCATGGTGCTTTAAAAATGATGCACTGAGGGCCACAAACGTGCGTGTGTCAGTGTAAGAGTATGTAACACCACCAAATAAAACAGACACACGAAGCCTAACTATAATTTACATATGTGCATGCATATGCCCGCAGCAAATATCCCCTACCCTTCTGGTCATCAATATGTTAATACGAACATTGGTTTTCTGACGTGTTCTCTAGTGAGTTACCATCTTACCTGTATTCAGTATATGCATTTAGGAAAGAATGTGTGTTTTACATTAACAAAGCAATCCAAAATCTGTGCTTTCTTATCATCTTCTGTTTAGAAATCGACATTGAACGCTGTGTACGAGAATCGATCAACCTTTTCTGTTGGACTCCTAAAAGTGCCACTTACAGACAGCACGCTCAGCCTCCAAAGCCAGCTTCCGACAGCGGGGGAGTCAGAAGCTCTGCACCGTATTTCTCTGCTGAGTGCCCTGAGCCTCCAAAGACAGATCTGGTATGTATTTGCAGATCTAGCTTGCAAACTCTTAAGGAGTACAGATGTTAAAATTAATATGCCCTGGGACATGCAGATGGCGTAGCGGTTATGTCCCTGGACTCCCACATGGCTGACTGCGGTTCAAGTCCCAGACTCAGTGGCTTCACAATCATGCCAGGCGTGTATGTGTACATGCCCAAAATCCCAGAAGAATGGAGCCAAGGTACTGTGGCATGACCGCCCTCTCGGTGAGTCCCCGCGTTCCCTCTCACCATGTCTGTTTCTCTCTGGCGAGCACATGTGCCTGAGGGAAAACCTCTCAGATAATAATAACAATATACCCTAGGGTTGTCATTGCTTTTAGTAATGTTGTCATTTAATTCCTTTTAATGTAACTGTTTTCTGACATATGATTGTGTCATGTCAGGATCTCAGCAAACCTTTATGACTTTGTGGTTCTGCAGTTAGGAAGACGGCTTTGACAGCCCTCCAGCAGCAAGTTTTGCGTTTCTTTCTGTGTACCGTACTCTCTCTATATATATCAACTTGTTAGATAGTGAGAGATTACAGAAACAGTAAGAATTTAAAAATAGATAAAAGCTGAGAATTGTTCATAGAATAGGAACTTTTTTTTGAAGGTTGACAAAAGAAATAGCATTTTGAAAAACTAAGCCCCTCAACATTGTATATAATGATAATGACTATATAATTTATATTTTGCTTTTGAGATACCCTAATAAACTTAAAAGGTAGTATTCTCATAACAGGCAGTAAAATCTTGACCAGAAGGAGAAATGGAGGGGAAAGGATTACAACATGACCAGGCCCCTTTGGGGATGTCTCTCTCTCTCTCTCTCTCTCTCTCTCTCTGGCTGTCTCTCTCTCTGGCTGTCTCTGGAGAGTGCCCATGCCCCTCTGGCAATAAAAAAAGGTAGGAGAAAAAGAAGAAAAGCCTTTTTATTTAATTAGGATGCTTATTTTCTCAAAATCCTTGTTCAAAAGTACTCGCTTTGTCTAGTTTTTGTTTGTAGAATTTTTCGACAACAAATTTATATTTTTTCATTTCACCTGAAATGTCCTCCATCCCAATCTAGTGTTGTTTATTTGAGTGTTACATTTTCAATGTTAGAGTGATAGATGGTGGGTTTTAAAACCATGTGTGTGCCCTCCAAAAGCATACTCGTAAGATTAGGGTCGTCACAGTTCAGGTTTATATGATACGGATTCTTTCCTCAGGTTCTGTAACATAGCAAAGGGTTTCTGCCCATCGCAACACAAATCGTACTGGTTATTAGTACAGTGGAAGTTTGAAAGCAACTATGGGAAGAAAACCAGCGTGCCCTCCGTGCATCTCTCGCGGGCCCCAGGGCCGATCCCTGTCGAGGAGAGCCTTCAAGACTTCGCTTTGCTGGTCCAGCTAGCTTAGTCTTCTCAGAGGGACTCGGTCTCAGATTTCAACCCTCCCCTTTCTTTTATGTATGATTTTCGAATAGTTCACATAACTTCTCTAGTTCCCTCTTTGTAAAAGTGAGCATAATTATAACAATTCCTACCCAGCAGGTTTATTTTAAGAATGATTTAGATCAAGGGCCTATTTCACTGTCTGGTACATAATGCACGCTCAGAAGTAAGAGCAGTCACTGTTACATTCTAGTAACTGAAGGGTAAAATGTCCACTTTGCAAAGTACCCGGGAACCTCGTGCCGTCTTCCGTATCTAAATCATCTGCGGAGAAGAAGCGCCGTCCTGGTACTCCGCTTCTCCTTGGCCTGTTGGCCCCTTTACTATCACTTTACGCTTCGAACTCACTGGGACAGTGAGGGGAGTGAGGGTCGGAGAGGCTGGCTTTTCTGAGGACTCTTTCTGGGAGCTTTACCTCAGTAATTTCAGTTTAAGATTTCACTTTGACCTTTAGTTTTAAAGCTGTTTTGATTCTGAAACTACTAAAGAATTGCCAAGAAAAATTATTTCATCTAGTGCCAAGGTCTTTCCTATCTAATTTTTCCTTAAGTAGCTAAGACTCTACTTGAGAATTCTAACCATAGCTTATAAATGGAAGAAACGTATAAGTGAAAATATGTAATTTTTATGAATATAATGAAAGAGTATTTTTTAACTAAATGTATTTTGGGAAAAGACTTTGGTCAGCATTGTATTTCTTTATTAATTTTTAATCACCACATTTATTTATTTATGGCTGATATAACAGTTATATGTAGTCTGTGCATAAACAATTATTTTTAAGTGTGAATTAAATACAAATTTAGTGGAGTTCTTTTTGGGTTTTGATTTTCAGTTTTTGGGTTTTTTTAGTTTTTGCTCCAGGCATGTGTGCTTGCTGGAGAGAGTAGACAGAGAGGAAGTGAGAAATCACCCCCAAGAGGAATGACTATGCCATAATTCCTTCTCCTCCATTCTCTTCTTGGGAGTTGGGCACCACGCACACACACATACCTAGGGTGTCTTTCAAGCCACACGGCCTGGGACTCGAACTGTGCAGTCAGCTATGTGAGATCCAACTACTTTAACCACCACACCACCTGCTGGCCCTTGGGATGGTATTCTTTTTTTTTTTTTGTAGAGGTTTCTGTTATAGGAGGCGTGCACTCGCCAGAGAGACAGAAAGCGAGAAATCATCCCCCAGTGGGGATGGCCACGCCGCAATCCCTTCTCCTCTCGGGATCTTGAGCACGCACGCACACACACCTGGCGTGAGTTTAAGCCACCGGGTCTGGGACTCAAACCGCAGTCGACTACATGGGAGTCCAGCGACATAGCCATTATGCTAACTGCTGGTCCCAGGGATAGGATTCTTGATGGGAAACACAAAAGATGAAGATAAATAAGAGTTATAGTCACCTTGAGTGAACAAAACAATTGCCACTGCTTAGCAGTGCCCCGGCTGGCAACTGCACTGAGACCACAGCACACTCTCCTGCAGACGCCAGGGCCGAGTGAACAATTGCCATGAGATAGGTAGGGTAGCCTGCTTAGCAGTGCCCCGGCTGGCAACTGCACTGAGACCACAGCACACTCTCCTGCAGACGCCAGGGCCGGGCTCTGACACCTCATTGGCATATCCATGGCGCAGTTGCCAGGAACGCTATGCTGGTGACAGTTCTTATTCCTGGGTCGCCTGGTTCACTCCGCAGCATGTTTCCCCCCCAGGAAGCCTACAGCACACATTCTCTTCATGAGGACCGACGGGCACACACAGTGCAATCCCAACTTGCTAATGACTGTCTGGGTCTTGCACTGAGACCTCCCATCTGCAGCCGCAAAGTTCAAGAATGTCATTTCACATATCTCTGACATTCCTTGGCATTTCAGGAGAAATGGATTCTGGCACAATTCTACAGAGAAACTAGCAATAACAGACATAGTTGTTTTGTACAAGATGCAGTGAGTCTAATGATTTTCAAATGCCAGGGTATAAACGTCCTATTTATTTTGGCCCTTCTCTCAGGAGTTTCTGTAAAATATGCAAAGTAAATAAACCATGTTATATGAGATTCAAGAATTATATATATAAACTGAGTATTAAAAATTCAGTTTGTTAACTCAGGTTGTGTACATGCTAACACATGAATTTAACCAAAAAGGTGGATAATACAAGAGGAGGAAGTATATTCATCTGTAACATTCTCGTATCTGGTAGAGACTTGCTGCTAAAGGTTATTTCTCTGTTCCCCCAATCAAAAAGAAGTTACTTAAAAGAGTCACTAAACTGAAGTTGTTCCAAAATACAACTGTTCAAATTACAGATTATTATTGAGAAATCCTACAGAAATTAAGTAAAACAAACACTTAGCAAATGGTAGCCAAGTCTAGTCCTGACAGACTTAACTAAACTACTGAATTTTAAACTCTTATATTTAGCAAATGGGTATTTGAAGTGGCTTAAGATTTGTAAGATGTTTATTTTCTTGGATAAACTAAATAGTTCTTGATTCTAAATACCCTTTCATGGTGACCTAGATTCCCACGTGTATTTGTGTTATTTCTGCTTCCTTTTTGCAGTTAATTAAATTTTTTGTTTCTTTTATTTTCAATATCAAGAGATCATTAAAATTATTTCATACATTGGTACTGTTTCTATAAGTGTAATAATTGGTTTGTCTTTTCTTCTTAATCCTTGGGGCAAAAGTCATTTTGGTGTTTATATTGCAATTGATTTTCTTTTCCCTTTTTAAAAAGGTTTTTGCTATAGGGCGCATGTGCATGCCAGAAAGACAGAGAGAAAGAAAGCGAGAAATCATCCCCCGGGGGCAGGGTGGGGGCAGCCACGCAATCCCTTCTCTTCCATTCTCCTCTCGGGATCTTAGGCACATGCGTACACACACGCACGCACACTCAGCGTGAGTTTAAGCCACTGGGTCCAGGATTCAAACTGTGGTTGACTACACAGGAGCCAGTGACACAGCCGTTATGCCAACTGCTGGTCCCTGCGATTGAATTAAATGTGTAAATAAGTAGGGAAAATTGATATATGATGGTCAGTTTTAATTTTCTAAATACAGTATATGTCCATATTTCTTTTTTTTTTTTTTTTTGGAGAGATTTTCACTATAGGGCGCATGCGCTCGCCAGACAGACAGAGAGACATAGAGACAGAAAGCGAGAAATCACCCCCCAGAGGGGATGGTCACACCACAATCCCTTCTCCTCCATTCTCCTCTCGGGATCTTAGGCACGCACGCACACGCACCCGGCGTGAGTTTTAAGCTACCAGGTCCAGGGCGTGAACCACGGTTGGCTACGTGGCAATCCAGCGACATAGCCATTACGCTAACTGCTGGTTCCCTGTCCGTATTTCTTTATCCTCACTTTTTAAGTGTATGTGCACTTGCCGGAGAAACAGAGAAAGAAAGAGAGAAATCCCCCCCACCTTGGGGGCCGGGCAGATGGCCATGCCACAATCCTTCTCCTTCATTCTCTTCTCAGGATCTTGAGCATGTATGCACGAATGCCCGGCGTGAATTTTAGGTTGCCAGGTTTGGGCCTTGAACTGCAGTCAGCTATGTGGGAGTCCAGCAACATAACCATTTTGCCATCTGCTGGTTCCTGTTCTTCCAGCTTTTGAATCCCAACACTGCCATACAAGCTCTGTAACCTGGAAGTCACTTGGTTTTTTTCAGTGCCTTGTTCATAAAATAGGGGCGATGACATGATATACCTCATAGGACCGAGTGAGTTAATATTTGTAGCGCACCCACTGGTACAGAGTAAGCACACTGACGTGTCAGTACCCATCAGCCTTATCACGGTTCACTTTTGACGTTCGAAATAGTTTTCCGTTCATTCAAATTTTCTAATACTTCATCTGCAAGTTACGATAATTTTGCGTCCTTTCCAGTTTTATAAATCAGATATCTTCCTAGTATTTGATTGCGTCCCTTTTTTCTCCTCGACATTAAATAACTGTAATCACAGTGGGTATCTTCATCTTACACTTAGATTTAATGGCAGTGTTTCTAGCGTTTTGCTGTGTTTTGGCTAGAGAGAAATTTTATTGTGTTACGGAAGTATCACACATTCTGATAAAATCTTCGTAAGATTTTCCTCCTATCTCTTATTAACGTGCTCTCCTGCCATTCGTAGGAACTACAAACAGCCCCTGACTGTTGACTGCCGTTCATTGTGTGAGCTTTGCAGTGAGCTGGGAGAGGATGCTCTGTCCTGATCTCGACCTAGGTAGAGGCTCAGCCTGCCAGAAACCGCTAAACTTCTCATTTGCTTAATTAAGCCAGAGTAAGTCCCGGCTCACCATTAGGCAGGAATATTATAAAATTTTTACAGAATTGGCAATCTTCTGATTTTAAGAGGGAGTAAGAAGGAAAAAAGGACTAGACTTAACATGAAGCCTTAAAGGAGATTACCTGCCAAAGTTAAAGAACATTTACCATTTAATTTAAAATCAAGACGTTCTTCGTATCTTGATTGTTTAGAAAGGTGTTCCTAGAAGTCTGTGGGAGTAAGTACATTTAAATCGCTGTTCTGCAGAGGCTGGCATGGACCTGTGGCTTTATATGCGCATTTGTAATCTGCTGGTTAATTCTCGGTTGTATATAATATCCCATATGCACCATTATCACCTTTTTAATTAAAGTAGTCTCATGTTTTAACCAATACATTTATCATCTGGTTATGCATTAGAAAAGTGGGTTTTTTTCTATTAAAAATACTTAAGAACACATTCAAATATCTTTGGCAAGATTCCCAGAAATGCCAAAGAATTAAAAAATATTTTGGGTAAAATATATGTGTTGAAATATATCTGTAAAGGTTATGGACACTAGTATTTCAAAGATTTACTTCACCACAGAAATATTACCTGTAACTTCTTTTTGTCAAATATTTTCTTTGTCTTAGATTACTTTTTATTGCATAATAAGCTATATTAAGCCAAAAGGAAGACTTTTGAACTACGTTAAAGTCAAATATTTCTAAAGTAAATATTGTAGTAATCCATCTTTTGCATTATAGCTGATCGTTTTAATTAGTTGTCATTGCTGTCATATTTAGCAGACCAAGAAACCTATACATGAAACAATGATGCCATTGGAGTTTCTACTGAAAGAGGCTCAGGAATGCTTCTGAGTGTGAGGCTTAGGAAAGAGTTTGTACAACACACGATCAGAAAGAACGTCTGTATTTCAAAGACAGTGGTGGGGAAATATTTGGGACAGTTCAGTTGGTCACAGTGAGAGTGGAAGAGGTGAGGGAGAGTTCTAGGGTCTGGCCTACGAAGCTAACCCAGGGTCAAGGTGGCACTAGAAATGGCGGTATAAAAACACGCCAGCCCAGGCCGCTGTCCGAGACTCGCACCAGCGGTTTATGGGGCAGGAGTTGTGACCTCAGACACTGACAGACACTTGTGAACTAAACTTCTGAAAACTGTTCCGAATGAAAGTAGTATCCTGACTGGAAAGTCGGCTTTATCCATACCAGGCTGACTTAGGGGGCAGGGAGAAAGAGGTGGGAAGGATTTCATTTATTTTATTATATTTACTTTTCAGAGGTTTTTGCCAAAGGGCGCGTGCACTCACCAGAAAGAGAGAGAGACAGAGACAATGAGAGGGAAAGTGAGAAATCACCTCCAGAGGGTTGGCCACACCACAATCCCTTCTCCATTCTCCTCTGGGAATCTCAGGCACATGTACCTGCACCCAGCATGATTTTTAAGCCATCAGGTTTGGGACTCAAACTGCTGGCAGCCATGTGGGAGTCCAGCGACGTCACCACGACAGCATCTGCTGGCCTGAAGTGGCAAGGATTTTAAGTGAGAGGCTTTCCTCAGCGTACCTGCTAGCACAGAACCATACCCTGGAAGTAGGATCAAAACCCCTTGCCAGTGTGCTAGGTACAGTTGCTTCCCACAGAATGCTGTGCCTAAAATCTCTCTGTTCTTAACAAACTGTTCCTCGTTTTAATTTCAACTAATGGGCATGGCAAAATTCTGTCTTTTTACCGGATTTAGATTTGGGCTTGTTTGTTTGGAATTATCACTAATATATCTACATAGCCATTTCAAATACTCTTAACTAAATTCTACTGTAGTCAGCAACGTGAATTTAAAGAAAGTTATCAAATTCAGATACCGGAATTCTGGACTTCTAAGCTTAATCCTCATGTATATACAGGCTCTTGAGCAGAAATGAAAAACTAACAGACATTTTCAGAGTTCCCGTCGAATTGGGACTTCTTTCACACAAGGAAACAGTGTCTGTGACAAGAGTTGTGCAGAGGAAGTTTCATTTTTACACCTCTCGATGGAAAATTTACAAGGAATAGTAAAATCACTTATAAAACTAGTAAAAGAAAAAGTGGATTTTGTATTTCTTAATATTATAATCATTTCTTCAGCCACCACATAGTATAATTTGTTCCAAATCGAACATACTAATCTCCTAAAATTAACTTGCAATTGGATGTGTGGGTATCACGTTGAAGCTCATACTCACACACATCCATAGAAGGTCAGAAAGCCTTGGATGTCTAAGAATTCCTCTCCTGTTCCTGCCATTGTATGTAGCAATGCTCTTTCCTTTGGAAAACTCGCACGTGACCATCTGATTGAAACTGATGCCAACGTTGGCAATCAGCTGATCGTGGAGGACACTTCGGTCAAGTCGTCTTCATCAGCCAGGGCAACCCTTTTGCTCAGATGAGACACCTTAGTTTAAAACACCACGTTCATCACGAAGTGACTAGAACTAGGCGAGTCTAAAGTTTTTTTTTATTTTATCTTCCTTAACATCTGACTTCTTATGACGCCTTGGAAAAATACCTATAGACATTGCAGTCTAATGAAAAGGGAGGTGGAAGCTTTGCTCGCATGGCTTGCTGACTTTAAAGCTCCTTGATCTTTCTGAAGCACTTTTAATTTCATAACGTTTAAGTAGCTTTAATTCTTAATATTAAAAATGAACATTCCTAATGTCTATTTTTTTTTTTAAGCCATAAACCTATAAAACAGCAGTTTCCACTTCGGTTTAAAAGTTGATGAAGTAAGAAAATGATGCTTTGCCATTAAAGAATTCATAACACAGTCAGGGCGACCCAAGGATGGGAGCTGACATCAAACTCCAATTGGAAATAATTTTTTTTTCAAAATAAGCCTGCCTGGTAAATGGTTCATGTGATTTATTTGCCTCCTGCCTAGAAATTCTCAACTGGGCACTCTTGGTGTGGAATCCCACAGCAGAACTGACCAAAGGGAGGGAATCGGTGACATCGTAATTGGGTTCTATTTCAATTACTGAGTTAGCATGAGTACAAACTTTCTTTTGAACCCACATATTTTTAATCAAGTGAATTTTTAAAGTTCTTAAATTCCGAAGTTAGTCACATGAATTTGCAAGGATGACTAATTTGCTCAAAGCCTTTATGTCGAGCTGTGTTGTATTGCGTTGCCCATTACGGGAAGTGAATCCTTCTCTACTAAATAACAGAGAATAGATGCAAACAGCCCTACAGGTGATTGAGTCTTTTTTTTTTCCAGAGGTTTTTGCTGTAGGGCGCGTGTGCTCGCCAGAAAGACGGAGAGACAGAGAGACAGAAAGAGAGAAATCACGCCCCAGGCCACACCGCAATCCCTTCTCCTCCATTCTCCTCTCGGGATCTTGGGCACACATGCACACGCACCCAGTGTGAGTTTAAGCCACCGGGTCTGGGACTTGAACTGAAGTCAACTACATGGGAGTCCAGAGACATGGCCATTACGCCAGTTGCTGGTCCCAAGGTGACCGAGTCTTACGCTGCGTGACAGACACGTAGATGAGCATACTGGCTTCCTGTCTGCAGTCTGATCTGACCTCCTTCACAAGTAAGACACACTGTCAATTTGGCTTACTAAGAAAGCATTAAATTGCACTTTGTCCATCTCTGAAAATCTCATGTCCACTCACCATTTATATGTAACATAAATTGTGTTATAAAAATGCAATGCATACCTTAGAACCAGTTTAATTAATATGTGTCCTGAACTGCAGTGGAGTCTCATTTTACCTGAGCTGTAATTAATGTGGCCCTCAACAGTGATCATACTGGAACACGCGTGAAATGTGTTTTTAAAGATACACCGTCTCTCCTGAGGGGCGGGGGGACTTGCTGTCCTTTGTGTGTGTGTGTATGTGTGTGTGTGTGTGTATGTGTGTGTGCGTGTGTGTGAGCCTGGAGTTTGCAGTGAGACAAAAATGTTGTCCTACTGGTGTGACCGCAGAGAGGTCACCGCAGGGGGAAGAGCTGGGCTGGGCCGTGGACGGCTGTAGGGCCGGTTTCCTCTCCTCCCACACGTGACGACCAGTGTGGACGGAACCCGAAGACATGGTTATTATGGCTGTCATTCGTCTCTGTCGTACTCTTACTGGCTTTGGTTGCATGCACCTTTTTTCCTTCCAGTCGAGAGAATCCATCCCATTAAACGACCTGAAGTCAGAGGTGTCGCCCCGGATTTCAGCAGAGGACCTGATCGACTTGTGTGAGCTCTCGGTGACCGGCCACTTCAAAACACCGCCCAAGAGAACCAAGTCCGGTAAGCCGAAGCTGCTGGTGGTGGACATTCGGAGCAGTGAGGAGTATCCTTTCTGCACGTGGTTTAAAGAGCGGCATCGCATAGTCGATGCTTCCTTCCCATTTAAAGGGCGTGCGGAAAAATAATGAACCTTTCTGGGGCTCTCTGAATTCCTATAGCTAAATTACTCTCAAGCTGGCTGCCCAGATGGTCTCATATGAAGTTTCTTAAGATAATATTATATACCCGCGACCTTAGAACAGTTTTCAGTCCCAGCTGCGGTGGCGGTAGGGTGTCGCTGTGCGGTGCCAAGCCACATGGAAAGGGCCCAGGTTCAGAGCCCCGATGAACCAGAACACACCAGGCATAACCCACAGGTGCCTGTTATTCTGCGGGAGGGCCATGGCCTGGCAAGACCCTGTCAGAGCCACCAGACTGTCTCGTTTTCCCTCCTCCCCACAATCCAAGAAAAATCTTTAAAAAAAAAAAAAAAGTGTTTTCCAAACAAACCAAAATATTGGAGTATTTTCTTGATTACTGGGTTTTTCTGCTGTGTATTGCTCTCTGAAAGGCTTGTGCATTCTTCATGTTGTTAACGGGAATTGGGGGCGGGGATGAAGAGTAGCTATATACTGATACATACATTAGAGGAAAAGTTCACAGATCTCAACGTCGAACCGGTATTTATTATAATTTTAAAGTGTCAGCTTATACAGAACACGTATTTTCACTAAATACAGTGTTTTCTCTAAGATTCCACTGTGGTACTAATTTACTAAGTGCTCTGTGAGGGATGGCAGGCTGGAGGTTTCGCATATGCTAGAACTGGCATTTAGTAGGTTTCCATGTTCATATGTTTAATCCCTTCTTTTGAGATGAAATTTTAAGATGAATTTCAAACCCTACACCTGCCGAGCCCGTAGGCAGTTACCCCTGCAGAGCCCTGCATCAGACCACACTCCTACTCTGTAAAGTCGCGGCTGCCCTTTCCCCTGGACCAGGGCCTCTGCACTTGGAGAACACACATGCTGATGCCCCCGCTGTTCTGAGCTCCAGGATGTCCTGACAGCTCCTTAGAGAACGCGAGTGGCTCTCAGTAGAGGCATACAGTCCAGGTGACCAGCCAGAGAACCCTGCCCAGGAAGTTCTGTCGGCTACTTCAGAGCTTAAAAGCCTTTTAACGTCTGTTTTTTTCCTTGCTTTGTTTCCTCAAACCTGTAGTCATGGTCATTCTCTCACAGAACCATCAAAAAGGCATCGCATTCTAATGCCCCCTTTTACCCAAGGAATGAAGGTAGGCGGTGCCCGTGCTGCTCCCCGGCCCTTCCTTTCCCACAGCCCAGTCTGCTCTGACGTTAAAAAGCACACACAGATTCGAAAGTGCACTCGATCCAGGGGTCTCAGGCCTCACAGGCTTGCTCTTTTTGAGGACACCCATCTTTATTCTCTGCAGGATGAGCACAAATAAAACAGAAAGTGCAGAAACCAGCCTGCACATTGCTCCCAGAGACATGGGTGAGTCGCCCCGGGTAGGAGTGCCTCTGCACTATCCCTCAGGGTCCGGTGTAGACGTGGAACTGCAGAGACATGGGTCAGTCGCCCCGGGTACGAGTGCCTCTGCACCATCCCTCAGGGTCCGGTGTAGACGTGGAACTGGAGGCTATCCGGCTGAGTGAGCGTGCCGGCTGAAGACAGAGCCAGAGACGCTGGGTCCAGGATAATGAAAGAAAGCAAGTGAAGTCACCCATCTCCTGTGATTCTCCTAAAGGGCCCACCTTGTAGAAATTTTAAAGCCCTTTTTGAAACTTGCTTTAAAACTAACTGCCCTGGGGCCAGCTGGTGGCGTGGTGGTTAAAGGCTCTGGATTCCCATATGGCTAACAGGGGTTCGGGTCCCAGACCTGGCAGCTTGCTTTCTCACTATGTCTCTGACTGGTCAAAATAAATAATTAATAATAATAATAGTAGTAGTAGTAATAACAAATGGAAATAAATAATTCCTTTTTTAAAAAATGGAATTAAAAAATATAACTAGGTATCCTTGGGCTAGCTGTTGTAGGTCACCAGTCACATAGCACTGCTATGCCGAACCCATGTGGGAAGGTCCTGGGTTCATGCCCTGGGACCTCCCTGTGCATACTGGGGGCACACTCATGTGTGCCTGTGATCTGGGTTGATGGAAGTGGGTTGGATTGGGGCCTAAAAATCCTGTTAGGGGCCTAGCTCTCTCATGAAATAAAATTTTAAAAAACTTTTTTAAAAAGGCTAAAACCAAGATGTTCTTAAGGCTGGGCCATTCATCCTCACAGCCTTCCTAATTTTTCTCTCCACGAATCCTCTTGCCACCTGTCTACACCTGTCCACCGCCAAACCACAGACGTTCACTGGGTTTCACACCCTTTAAAGGAAACCACAAGTTAGACTCTTCCAAGAGTCTGTGGGTACCCCTGGGTGTCTGCTAGTATAAAGCTCAGGGAGAAGTGGGGAGCTATCAGTTCCAAGCTCGTCTTGGATCCAAACGTCCACACTACTTACCTGTGAAATTGTTCAAGCTTAAATGATTTAGTTTGTGCTCGGGATAGTCCCAGTTAAAATACCAGTTCCCCGCGAGAGGCACCGTTTTACTCTGAGCAGTGTTGGCGCTTGTAGGTAAGGACAGTCAGAGGGAACCCCCGTCCTGGTGGGGACCCAGGGGCAGGAGCACAGAGGAGGAAGCCCAGCAACCCGAGGGCAGACCTCACCCACGTGGCAATAAAAATGTAATCCCACGCCTCAGAATCCGAAGGGGTCCCAGAGGTACTTCGTCTAAACTCTTAATATAGAGCCAGAGGCTCTGGGAAGCCGAAAAATGTTTTTGTTGACATCATACCTTGTTTTTGTTTATTGCTATTTAAAACGAGCATGAACCGTTAATCTAGGTCAAAGGTCAAGTCCAATTTTTTCATTCTTCAATGTATTATGGGAATTTTGGCACAAACCATACTTACATATTTTAAAGAGGCAACAGGTCACGTTTCTTGTGTAGTGACTTAAATTTCATAAGTAATGAGAATTTCACAGATAATGCATAACCCAAATTCTTATTTTCTGCAATGGTTATAAATATTCCAAATTTCCTTGATGTTTAAAAAAAGATCTTAGTCATGTAAAGGTGGGTCCCTGCCCTGGGTGCAGAGCAGGATATATAATGATGAGGAGTTTCAGTAGGGATTTTTTTCATCCCATTCGGGTTTGGGCTCAACCTGTCTAAATTAAACTTGCCACCCCGCGTGTCCCCACGTGTGACTGGACCTCGTGTAAGCGAGGGCATCTGCTGGCCACCGCTGAGGACTGTCCGCACTGCCTGGACGAGCCGTGGGCTGTTCGTGAGCTCAGGAGGCCCTGCGGGCCCGTCCAGCCCCTGCCCTGCGTGAGCACCAGCTCCGCCAGGCCCGGGGCGCAGAGTTCACCACGGCTGCCCCCCGGGCACTCAGGGCTCGTAGCCAGAGCAGACACGAGACAGATACTGCAGTTCAGTGCAAAATGGCTCTGTCCAAGGCACAGGCAGAATGTCATGGAATGTAAGGACAGACACCTAGAGCAGAGGTCTTAAAAAAGGAGTAGAAACGAGCCCAGCAGAGAAGGGACGTTCCAGACAGCAAACACGCCATGTGGGCCCAGAGAGGGCGAGAAGGACCGTTCAAGGCGTCCGCGGTGCTGACGGCCCTGGGCTGCGTGGGGTTGGGGACAGACGGGGAGAGTCAGCACAGGCAGCTCCTGCAGGACGTTGCTCCGCATGCTGTGAAATCCGCGGAGAGAAGGTGTTCACAGTCAGCCACGCCTGGCCCAGACCCGCCCGCCAGGGGAGACCCAGGCTGTCCCCTCGCCCGTGTCCCCGCAGGGCTGAGCCATCGCGAGCCAAGGCCGGGTGCTGTGCCGCCTGTGAGTCCGTGGCTTCCGCATCGCATCCCTTTTCAGGGTCTCCGTAACGGGAGGGGCTTCTTGATGCCTTTGCTTGTCTTCCCCTTTCTCTCTCCCACGTCGTTTTCAGATTCACTTTCTTTTTTCCTTTTTTCCCTCGGAGGTGCCTTACCTCATTTAGATAAAATGCTCACAGCAGCTTGAAAGAGGGCCAGTACTGTTCCGGCGCCTCCTCGAGCCTGTCTGGGACACGCGGGTCTGCACGTAAACAGACGTTTTCCTTAAGCTCCCTCGTCAGTTTCACGCGGGGCCACATCTCCGGCAGCATCAACGTCCCGTTCAGCTCTGCGTTCACTGCGGAAGGGGAGCTGGCCCAGAGCCCTTGCGCCGCCGTGCTGCAGAGCTTCCGGGGGAAGGTCATCGTCATCGTGGGCCACGTGGCGAAGCACACCGCCGAGGTGAGTGGCACTGTTGCGCGTGTGGGGCGTGCACACGTGCCCATGCCCAGGGTGGGCTGAGGTGAGGTGGCTCGTACATCTCAGCTGTCGGGCTGCAGTTTGTCTCTCACTCATGAAAGAAATGGTACGGGTTAAACACAGGTGGGCTTCGGCCTCACGTCATGTACAAACACTAACGTAAGTGGACCAAATTTAGGAGCTACAGCTACAAAACTCTTGGAAGAAAAGGTAGAGAGAAATCTCCATGAGCTCTGATCTGGCAGTGCTGTTTCAGTGTGACACTTAACGCACAGACAACGGCGACAAAAAATACGTAAATCGGACCTTGCTGAAAGTAAAAACTCAAGTCTCAAGGAATACTATGGAGAGTGAAAAGACACTAAAAAAGAGTATTTGTAAATCATGTGTCTAAGAAGGGTTCACAGCGGAACAGAGTCAGCGTGCAGAAATGGTGTGCTTCTATTCACTGGCAACTGCTAGATCTCAACGAAAAGGCTGCCAGGGTTCAGAATGCCCCCCGACGGGAGTCCCTTCCCTGAAGAAGATCCGCAAATGCCCAATAAGCACATGAGAAGACACTCGGTATTCTCAGTCACTTGGGAGAGGCAGAGCTAAACCACAGTGAGGTCCCACGTCACGTCCAGGTGTTGGCAGGGACACAGAGACGTCGGAACCAGCTGCATTGCTGGCAGGAGTGTACAGGACGCAGCTTCTGCAGAAAACGTCTCTGCGGTTTTTTCAGAGTGTACATAGAATTGCCGTCTGGCTCTAAGTAAACTAGTAGGTATACACCAAAACAATTGAAAACTAGGACGCGACAGCCACGGGGCATGCGTGTTCACCACAGCCCCATTAACAATAGCCAGAGCAAGTGGAAGCGGTCCGCGTGTCCATGAACAAACACATGAAGGAGTAAACAGAGCGTGTGTCTGTGTGTGTCTGTGTGCTGAATATTCAGCCATGAGTAGAAATGAAGCTCGTACAGGTGCTACAGCATGGATGGACTTCATGGTCACTAGGCCCAGAAGGACGTCCTGTGCGATTCCGGTTAAAGAGCCCCTGCCGTGGGCAGACAGGTAGGGGAGCGCTCACGGGGACGAGAGGATGGCGTGGCTGCTGAGCGGGGACAGCGTTCGTGTCTGCCATGACAGGACATAAATAGCTAATGGTGATGGTTTTATAACATTGCGAATGTATTAGTGCCACCGAGGTAAGCATGGAAAAATGGTTAAAAGGGCAACTTTTGTGTTACACGTGTCTACCTCAGCTTAAGGAAAGTCGCAGGGTCTGCTGTGTTCGGACCCCCCACCCCGCCCCGCGCCCCGTCCCCAGTTACCCAGCCCTGCCATGTGCGGTGGGCAGTAGGAGAGGAGCCTCAGACACGCCGTTCTGCTGCATGTCTTGTTTTTAATGATTTCCAAGCCAGCAGCAGCTTCTCTCGTGGTCGAGCTCAGTGCCCTATGGCGGGCAGCTGGCAGAGCCCTGTTCTGAGGAGGTCAAGAGAGCCCCGGTCAAGGAGCAGGGGAATTCCAGTGCTGACCGGTTCAGTTCCCAGTCACCACTGCGGTGTTTACCACGTTACGTCAAATGCATATTTGGATTGGGGATTTCTGTTTGCAAAAATTAGGTACTGATTATAATTTTTCTGGCTTTACATCATCTGTTAAAACCTGGTTTAAAGAACTAGTCTGGACCAGCAGTTAGCATAATGGCTATGTCGCTGGACTCCCACATAGTCGACCACGGTTCGAGTCCCAGACCCGGTGGCTTAAACTCACCCCAGGCGCGTGTGCGTGCATGCCCAAAATCTCGAGAGGAGAACGGAGGAGAAGGGATTATGGCGTGGCCATACCCCTGGCGAGTGATTTCTCGCTTTCTGTCTCTCTGTCTCTCTGTCTGTCTGGCGAGCACATGCGCCCTATAGCAAAAAAAAAAAAAAAATTCAAAAAAAAAAAGAGAACTAGTTCAAAAACCCAAGAAAATATTATGTAGAATATAGTTCAATAGAAGGCTTTCAATACTGAATTTAACAACTAGCAAAATACCACTGGGCAACTCCAAGAAAGAATGAATGAATTTCTTGTCTAGTGTAGGACAGTATTAAAATAAAAAATTGGGACCAGAGTGAGTTTTGAATACGAATAGGAAGAAACTCCTTCCCAGTGACCAGATATATTGAATGTTCTCTGAGCTCACGTGGGAGAGGACAGAGATCTGGGAAATGCAGCTTATTCATAGACCTCAAAATTGTAATCAGAAGATATGTGACACCATTTCATTATGTATTCGTGAACTCTTCTCTAATTACCATCGATTAGCTCTTTCTTTATTGCTGCAAAATGGCTTCATTATAATCACTACTTTCCCCTTTTTATTTGGTCTCGCCTCCACTTCAAATCCACAGAAAACCTCAGAATTCACCACTTCTTATCTAAGTAAAACAATAGTTGGGTTTTTATTCCAAGAATAGGGCAAACAAAGAACTACGAAAATCCAGGTTTACTTGGGGTCCCTTGGAGAGTATTCTCTGGGCCAGAATAAAGTCCCGCTCACTCTCACCTGTCAGCTGTTCACCGTATCCTAGAGGTTAAATGAAGCAGTGAGCTGTCGTATAATCGTCATGCCCACACCCGCTGTGAGCAAAGGCGTGTTAGCGTCAAGGAAAGGCAGATAACCTCGAGTGACGGAGTCCGACGTGTCTGCAGTGAGGGCCGCTGCCCACCGGTGGGCACATCTGGTGCTGCCCCTTGCCGATGTGCGGCCCGGTTTAATTTGATGAGCCAGAGGAATACAGCGCACGTCAATTGGCAGGGTTTCTGAGAGTAGGAAAACCTTTGCATGGCTATGGGTAAAGTCATTTCAAGCTTTAATTGTGTCATATTTAAAGTGAAAACATGGCGAAGTCTTGCTCTTGTTTCTTTGCGAGGATTATCTTTTTTTGTAATTGACATGTGAAATTACATCTCAGTTGCTAAACTGGAATGAGCTTCTCTGAGCAGAGAAAGAAAACATACCAGCATGATATACACAGAAAGGCTCATAAAAGATACCTCGTACAGAACTGAAGTGTACTGGATTAATCCCGGAGAACAAGTCTCGGAGTCTGGGAATTAAGGCAGTAACTATTCAGACCACTGGGGAGGCAGGTGGCCTACCATCTTTACCACGTAGTAAAGGAGCAAGGGTAGAAAAGGGGACACTTTGATGTCCGTGGACAGATCACTCGGGTGGAAAGGGGAAGCTTTACTTTCACCATTATCAAATGTTATCTAGGGGAATGTATGGTCTGTTTTGATGACTGTGGCCACCATTACCCACACTGCTTCCTCCCAGCTTAAGGTCAAAGTCTCAGATACCTCGGCCTGACAGAATGCCGTGCTGAATCCATCTCATTCCTAGAAGTAAAGTTAGGCGGTTTCGAGAGAATGATGGCTTCGCCCAATAGCACGCTCGATGGGTTACTGGCTTATGCTCCCGTGTGGGAAAACAATGCAGTGGGATAACAAATCCAGAGATAGTGATGGATTTCACCCTGGAAAACTGGCCGCATAGACCAGGGCAAAATGGAAACCCAACTGGTGTTTGTCTAACTTTAGTAAATCTCGGACCCGACAGCACGCGTGCGTGCCCAAAACCTGAACGGTAAATGGAGGAGGGGGCGACAGTGTGGCCACCCCCGCCCTCGGGGGCTGCTCGCTCACTTTCTCTTTCTATCTCTCCCTCTCCCTCCCCGTGAGCACAGGGACTCTGGTAAATTTAAGAAAGAAAGAAAGAAAGAAAGAAAGAAAGAAAGAAAGAAAGAAAGGGAAGGTGGAAACATCATGCTAAAGTTGTTATTAAGTCTGTCTCAATCTTCTATCTCACCCCTCTCCCTCCCCGTGAGCACAGGGACTCTATGGTAAATTTAAGAAAGAAAGAAAGAAAGAAAGAAAGAAAGAAAGAAAGAAAGGGAAGGTGGAAACATCATGCTAAAGTTGTTATTAAGTCTGTCTCAATCAGGTTGTAGTTATGAGACCACGAGGAGCTGATCCCTGTATGGCCCATTCAAGAGGTTATCTAAGGAAAAACTGGAAGGACTTCCCTTGCCACTTTGTCTTGTCAACCCTTTGGAAACTATTATGGACAGCTCATCTTACTCTTAAAATCTTGTATTCTTGGCACAAAATCAATGATTTTCTCTTGCCGTTAAAAAAAAAAAAAATTCATCTAAACATAATGTCCTGTGGATCATTGTTATTCTTTCCTTTAAAACAAAGCAAAGTGAAACAAAACAAAACAGAGAGCTGGAAAAGAAGGAATACTTTTAAATAACGTTTGATTTAAAACCTGGACAGAAGGTTTTCTATGGCTATTCTGACTAACCAGTGTGAGTGGCCCACATTTCTACGTGGGGCATTCTACATTTAAATGTATAATATGACTGCCATTTTCAGCGGGAAATTATGAGATTCATTCGTAATAAATAAATCATGCTATTGTAGCTATTTTATTTTTAAGGCAGGGCCAGCCATGTAACGTAGGAGCCAAGAGAACCAGACCCCACGTGACCAGCTGTGGTTTGAATCTTGGCCCCAGTGGCTTGAGAAACACACCAAGTATGTTTGGGTTCCCAAAATCCCAACAGAATAGAGAAATGGAGGGGAAGGGGATCCGGCATGACCACACCCCGGGTGCTTCCTCATCTCTGCCGAGCACGCATGCCCTCTGACGGTTCTAGAAGCTCATCGAGGAGAATAAGGTAATAGTCTAGGATGCCAAGGTCCGCCGGCCTGTGGACGTTAGACGTCGATGTACGCTGTGTTCATATGAGCCTCTTCCCCTCCCCCCCGTTACTTCCGGGCCCCTGAACGAAGCCAAGCCAAGCGTCGTGACACCGGATCAGTGGTAACTTTTGCCTTTTGCCGGTCCCTTTGTCTTCGTCCATTCTGGCTGCTTCAACCAAACACCATAGGCGGGACGAGTTGTAAAATAGAAATTGATGTCTCAGTCGTGGCAGCCGGGAGTCCGAGGTCGGCCCCGGCAAGTTCAGTCTTACAAAGGCCCACGTCATAGGTGCAACGTCCTCACAAAGCAGGACCCGGGAGCTGTCTGGGGTCTCTTCTATAAAGCCACCAACCCGTTCCTAAGGGCTCCGCTGTCATGGCCTCATCACCTTCTGAAGACACCACCTCCTCACTCGATCACGTGGGGGTTAGGATTTCGACCCGGGAGCCTGAGGCATCAAGACCCCGGCCCCTTCGTGCCTTCTGCCCGCCTCTCCCCCTCTGCTCAGGCCCTGCCTCTGGCCTTAGGCTCAGGCTTCCAAGATTATCCTGCACGTATGTGCCCAGGGGAGACCCTTGTCCACTTGAACCCCTGTCAGCATGTGGGTCGTCCCTACAGTAAACTCTCGCTCCAGGCAGTGTCTGCCTAGTTCTTCAGGCTCCATAATACCTTTAAAGCACTGCGCCAGAGCCTGTGTCCGACAGGAAGTTCACGAGGCCCCTTCGGGATCTACCTTGGGCATGTGGATAAGGATGGGAAGTGTCTCCTCTGAGTTCCAGGTATGCCAGGAATTCCTCCCTGTTCCCAGTTACACAGACAAGCACTGGCCGAGGCTAAACTCGGTTTCTTCCTTCTTCCTTGCCCTGCTTGTTAGCAGATGTGTGGGGTTCGGGGCTTCTACTGGACTGCAAGGACGTGTTTTAGACGGTAGTGTAACGTGAGCACAGTGATCACGTGCAGGTTAGGGACAGCAGGAAAACTCGTCTCCGTTCCTGTCTGAGGCGTGGTGGGAGGGACTTTGCTTTGGGAGGTCCAGGAAGTAAAAGTTGCCCTACAGAGTCCCAGCTCTTAGCTTTTTATAAATGTCGTCAAGTAAAAGCAACGTGGGATTGTAGCAAAGGGGGCCTGACAACACCTCGGACAGACCTAGGTTGTTTCTAACCTGAGGGAGGGCGGAGGCGATTTTTAGAAAGAATGGGAGCTCATTTCGCCTCCCAAAGGGCTGCCAAGTCATCGGAGCCAGAGCTCGCCGCCGCTGTCCTGGCGACCGACCGAGGGTGCGGGTGCGAGCTCTCGGCTCACTCTCACTGGGCGGCATCTCACATGCCCACCCTGCCCAAGCCCTCCTCACCCTCACCGCAGGAATGTGTGTGGCTGAGCGGGGAGTGAGCCCAGGGAGTCCGCTGCCCTCCCTCCCACCAGACCTGCCGCTGCGGGAGCCTGGCGGTCATCCATCAGGGCCCTGACTGTTTGGAATCTGAGTTTTTGCTGTGTACATTCTTTTCAGAGCATAGCACACTTTGTGTAAGAGGACTGGTGGCTTGGCCACTCTTCTCTGTCGTCTGGTGCAAACAAGCTGATAAATGACTGTTGTTGAAATTCAGTTTCTGAATACTGCAGATCACAGAAAAATGTACCATAAGATTCATTAGGACTCCCGATACATGATGGTATCAGATGATGAAATTTTATCAGAAGAGGCTTCTCTAACATGAGCCAATGTACTTTTTTGGGGGAGAGGTTTTTGCTATAGGGCGCATGAGCTTGCCAAAAAGACAGAGAGAGAGAGAGAACCAGAAAGGGAGAGATCACCCCCCGGGGGGATGGCCACACCACAATCCCTTCTCCTCCATTCTCCTCTCGGGATCTTGGGCACACACACACACACACACACCTGGCATGAGTTTAAGCCACCGGGTCTGGGACTCGAACTGCGTTCAACTACACGGGAGTCAGCGACATAGCCATTACACCAACTGCTGGTCCCTATAATTAGCATTCTTATTCAAAGAGGGTTTCTAAAAACTTCATGGAGAAGAGAAGGTGATAATCAGCCCAGGCCTCGAATCACAGGTAGGATTTCAGTCAGGCCACGTGTGGTCTGGGAGAAATGGGCTCAGTTACCATCAGTCCTCCCTCCTCCTGTCTGACCCCCATGCTCCGGCAGGGCCAGAGCTAACCCTCAGGGCCTTGGAGCAATGCTGCATTTGTCTTAGATCCCCGCCCCCACGGGGACCGTCATTGCCAGGGACCTGCTGCCTGCACGTGGCTCCAGGAACCTGGGTCTGGGGCCGCTGATCTTGAGGACGGGTTCAAAGGGAAGTGAGCCCGGGCAGGATGGAGGCTGGCTCTCCGCAGCTCGCTGACACCCTGTGATGCACAGCATCCGAGTCCCTGCGAGGGCCGGGCAGAGGGTGGCAGACAAGATGGGGAAGGGGGCAACCATTCGTCAGTGAAGATCGCTGAGGTCCCCACCCGGCGATGTCTGGACGTACCTGAGAGAAGATCAGTGGAAGGGGTGGGGGGCTGCCTACCGAGGAGCTAACAGAGGGGCTGGGAATTGGAGCAGGACACGTTCCCACCAAGGGCGGCCTGCGCTAACAAACCCTGGTCACAAAGCCCCTGCAGCGACAGCCGCGGGACGAGGGACAGGGCAGAAGCCCACAATCCCGGTAGCGCATGCGGCTGGTCGGAAGATGCGTGTGCGCCGTGGTGACGTGGACACAGCCCTCGGTGCCAGGCACCGGGAAGGCTTCCTGGAGCCGTCCTTCGGCGTCGCCCTGGGTTACGGTCACAGCGTGACTGCCCCTAAAGCGTCTGATGGCTCCTGGCCCTTTCTAGAACACCGCGCCTGGGAGCGCAGCCACTGCGGAGGTGTCCCGGTCTCAGACATTCTCCGGTGTCGCTTCGGGACTCCTTGGAAGGATACCCAGTAAAACGGCGACACTGCTGACCTCGGGAGGGGCCTGGGAGCAGAGGTGGGAAGCGTTTACTTCTCACCTGTACCTTTATACCGAACTTGAATTGTTTGCCGTGTGTACTTACTGCCTAGTCAGGCAGCGTCGTGGAGGCGACCTGGAGACACGTCTGTTCCGTAGTAGGAAGAAGCCGTGTGCCAGGAGACACGTCTGGTGCGTAGTAGGAAGAAGCCGTGTGCCAGGCTGGCTCCATGGCCGGTGTTCAAGGCTGACCATGCCTTTTGAGTCCGGGACCCGACAACCTGAGAAACACGCCAGGCATGTGTGCCTGCACACCCAGTGTCCTGAAAGGAGGGAGAGAGGGAGAACGAGGGATTGCAGCGGGGCTATTCCCCACGGGGTGTTCCCTCCTCTCCCTCTCTGTCTGTCTTTCTCTGGTGAGTGTACACACTCTTGGCAAATTAAAGAAAGAATAAAGTTGTTACCATATATAAGTGATCTGATACATTTTAAAAATTAATGCCAGTTTTATATTGAAACACGCTGTGGCGTGGTGGTTCAGGTGGCTGGATCCCACATGGCCGAATGTAAGGTTTGAGTCCCGGACCCGGCAGCTCGAGAGACACAGCCAGGGGTGTGTGCGTGTGTATCGTATCAGGAGCCCTGAAAGGAGAGAGAAATGGAGGAGAAGGGATTAGGGTGTGGCCACCCGCCATGGGGGCTTTCTCGTTATCCCTCTCTCTGGCAAGTACACATGCCCTCTGGCAAATTTTATTGTAAATGTTCGGTCTTTCTGAGAAGAACATAGAGTTGGAGATCTGTCATATTCTCTATAAACCTGGCCTTTCTTGTCCCAGTTTGCAGCTCACCTCGTGAAGATGAAATATCCGAGAGTCTGCATTCTAGATGGCGGCGTGAATAAGATCAAGCCCACAGGCCTCCTCACCGTCCCGTCTCCTCAGATATGAAGAAGCACGACCATGACTCCCGAAGCACAGAGTGGCGCCAGCACTTCACAGCCGTGCTCGCAGCCCTGCCACCTGAGGACCCAACTCGACACCCGGTTTGCTCCCCTGAAGCATTGTCACGAGGTGTTTTGTAGCTGGCGTGACCCAGACGCTCAGCTGTCCGGGCCAGAAACGTGGCTGCACACGTACGGCCACAGGGAGATCCGATCCTGTAGCTGTGCCACACTGCCACGTAAAGCCGAGCACTCCCACCGACAGGGCAGGCCGGCATGTCAAGAAGTCCCACTCGTACTGAAGACGCTGTTCCTCGCCGAGTGGGACAGACAGCCCTAACGAAGGTATTAGTAAAAGCACAGGTTGAATGTGGGCTGAGGTGGTCTTTCTGTGACAGTGAGAAAAGGCTAGTCATAATGCATTCCTTATAAATAAATGCTAAATGTGACAACTGCAGTAACCCGGTCATTTTGTGTGGGGTGGGGGTGGGTGCCTATGCAGAGGGAGTCAAGTTTAGCTCATTGCAAAAAATCGATAGTTTAGTTTGCTCCCAGAAAAATGAACCTCAGAAGCCATTTATATTAGACAGAATGTTTGTTCAACTCCTGACACATTTAGGCTTCTTTCCAACATGAAGATTTTTTAAAAAACACATTCAAATTGTAAGTTATGTTTAATATTCTCAGTGGTGAACTTAGAAATAGCACACCATCACCCAGGTTGACCTGGGCGCCTGGTGTTCCATGGCAGAGTGTGTCAACAATGTTGACCTCAGTGACTGTTCACTGATGACACCTGTGTGACGCGGATTTATGCAGATCCTGTTCAATGTGTTCCCAGTCCTGCACTGTCACCGTCAACGCTTCTGACATCTGTAACCTCTTGTTGCTTGAAGTGTCCTTATTGCACTGCCGGGCTCCACACACGTATTAATAGTGGCTCGCTCGGTACCAGTGGCATCTCCTTCCATCTCTTCTGACTTCCACGTGCCACACTGAGCCTCACAGCCAGCAGAGCATCCTGCTCCTACTTCTGATAACAGACTGAGCATTTTTCAGCCATCTGCTCCTCTAAGGCCAGGGGCCAGAACTTACACCTCTTGCTTACCTACAGCAATCCACTATGTTGAAAATGCTCAGTTAATGTCAACTTGAATATATAGGGTTTTAGAATGTGTATAAGTGGTGAAAAATTTAAACAGCCCATTTTTTTTCAACTGCTACACTTACCTGGTACCTGATAGTGCATACATTGAGTTTTCAATTCACCAAGTGAAGTGAGGATCCCTAAAATTCGGCCTAGTCAGGCAGCGTCGTGGAGGCGACCTGGAGACACGTCTGTTCCGTAGTAGGAAGAAGCCGTGTGCCAGGAGACACGTCTGTTGCGTAGTAGGAAGAAGCCGTGTGCCAGGCTGGCTCCATGGCCGGTGTTCAAGGCTGACCATGCCTTTTGAGTCCGGGACCCGACAACCTGAGAAACACGCCAGGCATGTGTGCCTGCACACCCAGTGTCCTGAAAGGAGGGAGAGAGGGAGAACGAGGGATTGCAGCGGGGCTATTCCCCACGGGGTGTTCCCTCCTCTCCCTCTCTGTCTGTCTTTCTCTGGTGAGTGTACACACTCTTGGCAAATTAAAGAAAGAATAAAGTTGTTACCATATATAAGTGATCTGATACATTTTAAAAATTAATGCCAGTTTTATATTGAAACACGCTGTGGCGTGGTGGTTCAGGTGGCTGGATCCCACATGGCCGAATGTAAGGTTTGAGTCCCGGACCCGGCAGCTCGAGAGACACAGCCAGGGGTGTGTGCGTGTGTATCGTATCAGGAGCCCTGAAAGGAGAGAGAAATGGAGGAGAAGGGATTAGGGTGTGGCCACCCGCCATGGGGGCTTTCTCGTTATCCCTCTCTCTGGCAAGTACACATGCCCTCTGGCAAATTTTATTGTAAATGTTCGGTCTTTCTGAGAAGAACATAGAGTTGGAGATCTGTCATATTCTCTATAAACCTGGCCTTTCTTGTCCCAGTTTGCAGCTCACCTCGTGAAGATGAAATATCCGAGAGTCTGCATTCTAGATGGCGGCGTGAATAAGATCAAGCCCACAGGCCTCCTCACCGTCCCGTCTCCTCAGATATGAAGAAGCACGACCATGACTCCCGAAGCACAGAGTGGCGCCAGCACTTCACAGCCGTGCTCGCAGCCCTGCCACCTGAGGACCCAACTCGACACCCGGTTTGCTCCCCTGAAGCATTGTCACGAGGTGTTTTGTAGCTGGCGTGACCCAGACGCTCAGCTGTCCGGGCCAGAAACGTGGCTGCACACGTACGGCCACAGGGAGATCCGATCCTGTAGCTGTGCCACACTGCCACGTAAAGCCGAGCACTCCCACCGACAGGGCAGGCCGGCATGTCAAGAAGTCCCACTCGTACTGAAGACGCTGTTCCTCGCCGAGTGGGACAGACAGCCCTAACGAAGGTATTAGTAAAAGCACAGGTTGAATGTGGGCTGAGGTGGTCTTTCTGTGACAGTGAGAAAAGGCTAGTCATAATGCATTCCTTATAAATAAATGCTAAATGTGACAACTGCAGTAACCCGGTCATTTTGTGTGGGGTGGGGGTGGGTGCCTATGCAGAGGGAGTCAAGTTTAGCTCATTGCAAAAAATCGATAGTTTAGTTTGCTCCCAGAAAAATGAACCTCAGAAGCCATTTATATTAGACAGAATGTTTGTTCAACTCCTGACACATTTAGGCTTCTTTCCAACATGAAGATTTTTTAAAAAACACATTCAAATTGTAAGTTATGTTTAATATTCTCAGTGGTGAACTTAGAAATAGCACACCATCACCCAGGTTGACCTGGGCGCCTGGTGTTCCATGGCAGAGTGTGTCAACAATGTTGACCTCAGTGACTGTTCACTGATGACACCTGTGTGACGCGGATTTATGCAGATCCTGTTCAATGTGTTCCCAGTCCTGCACTGTCACCGTCAACGCTTCTGACATCTGTAACCTCTTGTTGCTTGAAGTGTCCTTATTGCACTGCCGGGCTCCACACACGTATTAATAGTGGCTCGCTCGGTACCAGTGGCATCTCCTTCCATCTCTTCTGACTTCCACGTGCCACACTGAGCCTCACAGCCAGCAGAGCATCCTGCTCCTACTTCTGATAACAGACTGAGCATTTTTCAGCCATCTGCTCCTCTAAGGCCAGGGGCCAGAACTTACACCTCTTGCTTACCTACAGCAATCCACTATGTTGAAAATGCTCAGTTAATGTCAACTTGAATATATAGGGTTTTAGAATGTGTATAAGTGGTGAAAAATTTAAACAGCCCATTTTTTTTCAACTGCTACACTTACCTGGTACCTGATAGTGCATACATTGAGTTTTCAATTCACCAAGTGAAGTGAGGATCCCTAAAATTCGATAATCCTAGAAGACGGAGCAGGTACCTTCCAACAAAGTAAGGGAAGCTAGCAGCTTCCCCTTTCCAAAACAGTAATGCTAGATTTACGAAGAATCTCAGGATGGCTAGCACTCCACCAATGTTCAAGTGAAGCAGTACTGAAAGGCACAGCTGTCCGGCCCACGCGACAGCAGGTGCCGGCCCGGGCCTGTGAACTGGCTCTCCCCTGCACATGGGATGGAAGACAAAGCCCTGGGCCCGGGCGGGAAGAGGGCTGTCTTTAGACTACCTTATGAACAGTCTTGAATAACTCTGCTTCACCAAATGACTAAAAATACTTCCCACACGTTGGGGAAGCTACGGAGGAGACTGTCATCAGCCTGGTATTCTTGGTGAGTGAAGAAGACAAATGTGTTGCAGACAGACGCAGGTGTTCGATGAGCATCAGTAAGTCCTTGATTTAGATAAGCTTTAGGGCATGTGTTCATGTGACTATTCAAAAATGAGAACAATGGGTTATAGAAAACATTTGGAAAACATACATGGCGCCAGGTCTCTGACTCATTTGCTTTCCTCCTCCCAAGAGTTACTAAAAAAGTACTTCTTTAGAGATGAAATCAGTGTGCTTAAGCATTGCGAAGAATCTTATGCAGAAGTGTCATCCAGTGGGATCCACTGTAGG